TAGTGGTGTCACCGTGCTTGCCAAAGCAATGCACATTTCCTCGTATTATGGGGTTATCGAGCGCATTTGGGTGTTTGATTATGAGAAGTTTCAGATTCCTATCTTTGGATGCAAGTGGGTTGAAAATAATAGTGGCATACGAATGGATAAATTAGGTTTTTTGAAAGTGGATCTTAATAAGGTGGGGTACAAAGATGAGCCTTTTATTATAGCCACACAAGCTAAACAAGTGTTCTATGTCACTGATCCGACAAGTACGAAATGGTCTATAGTTCTTTTTTCCAACAAAGTAATCGATGATAACATTGGAGAAAAGGGGGATGTTGATGTTGAGAATGAATCTTATATTATAGATGATCCAGATGAGAATATTAGAGCGGACAAATCATATATTAGAAATGATCATAACGAGGGAATTTGGATCAATCCATCTGTCCGTGTTGTTAAGAGACAAGTAAACCCCGTTAAAATGAAAAAAAGAAAGAGATGTTAAAGGTACTTGTAACATATTATTTCTTATTTATATCATGCAATAAAATAACATATTATTTCTTATTTATACCATGTTTTTCTTATTTATACATTTCTTATGTATATATTTCTTATTTACATATTTGCATGTCATTCATTTGATACTTTGATTTTTCTGAATTACAGGTATATATATTATGGCCAGCAACGAGGAAACATCACATGATGGAAAACAAACAACAAAAGACGTGGAAGGCGATATTAAAAGAGGCATAACGATTATGAAAAAAAATCATCCGTGCGAGAGATAAAGGAGTAAAGTATGATGTCCATTGGAATGAAAGAGATCAGTTAGTTGAGCCTAACGGTGCGTTGCTAACAAGTTACATCGGAGCACTTGTACGTTCTCAAGTTCCGATTACTTGCGATAATTGGAGAATTCTTTCATTACAACTGGCTAAAGATAAAATTTGGAGCGAGATTCAGGTATGATATTTGATTATTTTTAATTGTGTTGACATTTACGTCTTTAAATTAATTATACTAACATCTTATATGTATGTGTGTTTGTTTGCAGAGATCTTTTAATATTGAAGATCGTAGGAGAAAATATTGTATTCAATTGACCGGAAAACGCTTGAGGGGATTTAGAGCGTTTTTAACAAACAAGTTTCTAAAAGATTCTAAAGGAAACTTTGTTGACTCGGAGCGTCCAATGAAGTACGTGGATTTGATTTCGGATGAAGAATGGGAGACGTTTGTTGCAAAGCGAAGAACAAAAGAATTTAAAGTAAGTCCGACTTATCATGAACTATGTATAGTATATATACTTCTTCCACAAGAGTTCTGATAAACTTGTTTTTTCAGGTTGTTAGTGGCGTAAATCGTCAACGGGCATCAAATCCCGCATATCCATACAGAAAGGGGCGTTTGGGATATGCACGCTTAGAACAAAAAATAGTAAGTACATATAAATTCTTTAATATGATATATTTACAAAAAATAGTAAGTATATATAATAGGATATAATGTTTTATTATCCGTCTTAATGCGTAGTTGGAAGAGGAGAAGAGTGATGCGACATCTCTTCCGGACCATGTTGTATGGAAGGCTTCCCGTGTGGGAAGAGATGGAGTCGTCCAGGAAGAAGTTCAACAAGTCTTTGAACAATGTGTAAGTACAACGTTATCTTTGTCAGTAACTGATCAAAAGTGTATAATATATTTATATATGTTTTTATCTATATTTCAGGAGACTCTATCCCAGACCATAACTCCTGCTGAGGACGATGATTGCAGGAGCTTACTGAGTCGGGTGTTGAATATTCCTGAGTATTCTGGGCGTGTGAGGGGTAAGGGATTTGGTGTCACTCCATCCAAACTATATAAGCAGCCAAAGAAAAAAAATCCAAACAATAAAGAAGTGATGGATACTTTGGAGGAATTGAAAGCGCAGATTCGTGAATTACAGAAGGACAAGGAGAGATACATGTCGGAAAGGCGCGCTCCAGAGGGTAAAGCTACTAGTGACAAAGATAGTATCAGTTGTCCACAGAAGCTTCCAGAGGTAATTGTATATATTACATTGAAATTAATTTAGCAAAGTTTACTTAATTGACACATTAACTAATCATTATTTGTTTAGGGCATTTCACTTTGCCGACTATATTTATCGTCACCGACTCATCGAATGGTTGGCAAGGGAAAGGTGTATAACACTCTGGGAGACTTACTTCACCACAAACCGCTCCCTTCTGGATTTTTGAAAGTATCTATTGATATTGCGTTAGAGGGGGGTGCATTGTTGCCTATACCAGATGCTATTTCAGGCGCAACAGTGGTGGGAGACGCAATAGGAGCGTATGTGGCATGGCCGACAAATCTCATTTGCATAGATGATGAGGTAGGTTGAACCTTTTAATACTCAAATGTTTTATGATCCATACATGAAAGTTATTCTTACATTTACATTTTCTTATTTACATGATGATCTTAGACTCCTACAAAATCCAAATCAAAAGATGATAGAATTATTATGCGGGATACCGATTCAGCTGCATCAAAGAAACAGGTACTACTATAGTTACATGATTATCTTATTATACATTAATTACTGAACTTATATATGACTTTTAGGTTCATGATCAGCAGTCGCAACAAGTCAGCAAGGGTAAGATGCCTGAAACTTCCAAGGTGCCTAGAAAAGCATTTGTTCCTCGATTTAGGATGTGCCTTGAAACATATGTGGGAACATCAGATGTGCCTGAGGGTGGCATCCGTCAAATACATATGGACAGAGGTATTTTCGGTTTTGAATATCCCGAAACAATTGCTAAGGAGGATTTTGACCAGGTTTTCAACCATTCTGAATTGGGCGTCGGTGTTATGCATTCATACATCAGGTACTTCGATCCATTTTAATTAAATAATTGAACATTTTAAAATTTGCTCGTTTAACTGAATATTCTAATGTTGATTATGTTTTTTTAGGCTCTTGGATGACAAGTTGTTGGTCCCGAATGATTTGACTTCAGCATTCGCATTCTTATCTGCTAGCTGTGTCAACTCACGAACAATAGACCAGACACCAGATGCAGTCAAAGAGTACACAGTGCAGAGATTTATGGGCGCAACTACGGAGAAGTTGTTCTTGTTGCTATATAATACTGGTCATGGGTTAGATTTTATTCTAAATTCATTTATTATAATTGTTCGATTTTTGCCTTTCTATATAACATTTCCGTCTAAACTGTTGTCTTATTTTATAGTGGACATTGGTTGTTGGTCGCGATTAATCCGAGGAAAGAAATAGTGTAGTATATAGATTCATTGGATGGCGATGCAACAAAATATGAAAATCTGAGGAACATGGTTGATACGTAAGTGATGAGATATACTGTTATGAATAATTATATATCTTTATTTATTATGTGACATTGTTCTAAATATGCGTTTATATTATGTTAGAGTTATACAAATATTCAGAGCACAAAGAGATGCAACGGTGCCAAAAAGCAAGGTTAACAACATCAGCTGGATCAGAGTGGAGGTATATTTTCTCATGTTTGACTGTTATAGTGGTTCTACTTGATAAAACTATTTAAACTATATATCCTGATAAATGTTCGTTTGTTTTTTCCATTTACAGTGTCCTCGTCAGCGCAATGGGATTGACTGCGGATATTTTGTATTACGCTTTATGAAGGAAATTATATTTTCTGGTCAAATAGAGGTTCCAATCATGGTATGGATCAATTCATTATATAAGTTATATGATTAATTTTGATAATTATCCGATACTTCATCTGAGTAATTAGTTTTAAAATTAAATCTTGCATGTTCTGTTATATTATGTAGTATTTTGATGAATTCAAGTGCGTTACTTACACGAAAGCAAGATTGGAAGAAATTAAAGAGGAATGGTGTCAATTTATTCTTGAGTTGAGAATTGTATAAAGTTATCGGATTGGAAGAATTGTAATTATATGTAAATTGATTGTATTTGTGATGTTGTAATTCTGAGGATCGGATTTTGTTGTAACATATTTAAGCAGGTTTATGTGTATTAAAATGATTATGGGCAAAGTGATGAGTTACAATGTATACTTAAAGGCCAAAGTTTTGAATTGTATATATAAGGCCAAAGTGTTGAAATAAAGGCCTGAATTATAAGCAGGTTTGTGTAATATAAGCAGGTTGTTGGTAAATATACAAAATAGCGTGAATATTTTAAAATTTTTTTTTTTTAAAATCTGGGACATTAGACAACGCTTGTACAAAAAAGCACTGCTAAAGGTTACAAACATAGCGCTACGAAAGCGCTGCTATAGGTTTGGAAGGGGGGGGGGGTCTAAGACAGCGCTTCTAAAAAGCGCTGCTAAAGGGGGGGCTATGACAGCGCTTTGTAAAAGCGCTGCTAAAGGTGGGGTCTAAGACAGCGCTTTGTGAAAGCGCTGCTAAAGGGGGGATGGTTGGGGAGAATATACAGCGCTTATAAAAGCGCTGCTAAAGGGCTAAAAAAGCGCTGCTAAAATTGCTGCTGAAGGGAGCCTTTAGCAGCGCTTTTTCCATAAAAAAAAGCGCTGCCTTTACCTTTAGCAGCGCCACTTTTGTCAGCGCTTTTAAGCGCTGCTAAAGGTCTTTTTTGGCATAGTGCTTACAGGTACACCCCCTCCTTCCATTGGAGACCTATACCATTGTGTCAGAGTCTTTCAAAGGTGGACCTCACCGACTTTGATTACTTAATACCAATTTCCTCAAATTTCCTCTGTTGCGCCACTAAGAATGTTTCTATTTTTATTAATCGTTTCGATCATCGTTAACTTTTATAATTATCAACAATGGTAGCTTCCAAAGTGACTCGATCATTCGTTCATGTAATGTCCTCCCTAACATTGACGCCATCACACTGTTCCTTGCACATATGCGTAACGACTTCCTTCTTCTAAGAGAAATCAAGAATTCAGGAGTTAAGTGTTCAAATGCATCAAAGTCAGTATATTCAGACCTGTCAATTGAATCACTACTTAGTTATTCTTTTTCTTCTCCTTCAATAAAAAATCAATAATTAGTATGAAACTATAATAGATTTAATCATATAGAAATTATTGACTTGATACAGTAACATTTAAACTAAGTACCTGAAATCAACTTTGTGATATAATCATTGATATCATCAACCACTTCAATAGTTGAAGTCAAAATTGCTCTACTTTGAATATAGTTTGAATCTTTGTAGTTATTAATTAGATCTGGATATGTACTTGTAACAATTGCTTCAATAGGGTCCATAAAATTAGAGATCAAAAACTCATGTGAAATGGTAATGTCAACATAACCATCATTTGGCTCTAAGATAGTTCCATCACCAATTTGTAGTATCCAGTCTGAGAAATTTTTGATATCTTCGGTGGTTGAAGATAATGACCCACTTTGTAAGCACATGTTCTTTGTAAGCTTAAAGACTTCGCAATGATCCCACATATATGAAGTATTGATTGTTGCATGTAGAATATCATATCTAAAACCTCTAGGTATAATTTGAAATATTTGTCTAAAATCTCCACCAAAGACAACCACTTTACCTGCAAAAATCTTTTGACAAAAAATCTTGTCGTCGCTCATAATATCTTTCATACTTTTATCAAGCGACTCAAAACAAAACTTGTGTGCCACTGGTGCTTCATCCTATATAATGAGATTGATAACTCTAAGCAAGTCAGCAAGTTCATCTTTTTTGTCTATATTGCAAATAGATGTTTCAAGTGTAGGAACCAGAATCTTAAATTTTGAATGAGTTGTCCTTCCATCTGGTACCAACAAACTTGCAAGGCCACTTGAGACAACATTTAAAACAATTTGTCTTTGTGAGCGAAGTGCTGCAGAGAGAGTGTTTCACATAAACGTTTTACCAGTTCCACCATAGCCATACATAAAAAACACACCACCTTGTTGGGTTTGAACGGTTTCTATGATTTCATTGAAGATATCTCTTTGCTTATCTAAAGAAAGAGATATAGAAAATATAATTAATTATAGCAAACAACCATGCATATTATAATAAATATATAGATTATTAATGTACCTGTCAGGGAGGTAAATAATCCATGGAAAATTTCATTTTTTTCATTTGGATTATATTGTCTCTCATTATATATCAATTTGTTGCTCAGAAAATTAATCACAAAGTCCTTTGGATATGGCATTGTCTTGAACTCTTTCAAACTGCATCCATAATTTTGCAGATGCGTTTTTAATTCTATGAGTGTTAGTTGCTTGATTTTGTCTTCTGTGAGTGTTAGTCCTAATTGATATAGATGTTTCATATAAGGGTTTCAACAATAATGGTCTTAAATAATTATAGAAAAATAATGAAGTTTGGATGAAATAAGCAACTGTAATAAATTTATTATCTGGATTTTTTGTCATGCGACGTTGGTCGTAAAGAATACTGTCAGATAAGTACATTTAAGAACTATGTCAAACATGTTCCGGTCGATTCATTGATGCGGATAACAACATAGTAAGAAAAAAAATATGCAAGAAATGTTCAGAACCCCAAACATGTGCCTCCTTGATTGCTTCAATAAACTCTAGTTCATCTTGGAGAAATCGCATTGTAAAACATGCCTTCCTAAAGGTGATAATGGATAACTGTATTTTGACAGAACAAAACCAAATACATGTTAAAGAAGAAAAAAATTGAATTGACATTCTTACAATGGTGTAGATGAAGACATATCATCCAAGATATTTGTGGAATCATACGAGATGCTTCTATCAAGTTGTATGTTGTTGTTGAGGTTCATGGCTAAATTTGGAAGTCCAAGTAATTTTTTGGACGATCACGCCATGGTTTTTCAGCTGAAGTTGTGTTGCATAAGGATTGGCAGATTGAAAAAATTCAATCCATTAACCAATTTAATACAAATCAATACAGAACAAATTTTTTAATAATGCAACCGAATATGATAGTTAAAAAACATTTTAAGCATATCATCTTTAGAAATAGCATTTGAATAAGGTAGAGTGAGAAAAATATACATCGGTGTTTGAGTAGAATAACAGTCTTTAGATATTGCACCGGAGGGAGTATGTAATAGGAAATTAAAGGAAAGGAAAATAATGTTTAGAATAAACATTACTTCTCCATTATATATTAAGATCTTCATTGTAAACGTAAAATGTAGTAGAGGTAAGATAACCAATATCATTGCAAATATGGGCATAGTTGCCATGATAAGATAAATATGTATAAAAAGGATGAATCTTACTATTCTGTAATTGCAATCAAGACAAATCGTAACCTACAATTAAGATTCTACAAATGGTTATGGAAATTGCAATTGGTCATATAAATTTTGATACTACATTAAGTACAATGTACACATGCTATTATATGTTCTTGTTCTATAAATAATTCAGTACAGGCACATAAAGTTAATGTTAGAACGGATTCTGCATGCGGTTAGTTAATGTTACATGACATTATAATGTGTAAATTGTGGCCTTGCTGTAAAGAATAAGATATAATCAAAAGGTATGTAAAAACACAACAATTTCAGCAATTATAATAATGTCTTACCTTGCTTTAAAAGATAGAACTTATGGGTGGTCTAAGTTGATGAAAAGTCTATAACCATTCCAAGCATTAGAAATCAGCAATTTTCCAGATACTGCAAGAATAATAGGTTGATGGTAAAACAGATGATAAAATGGTGAAAATATAGCCAAAAGACATACAAACAGGAAGATATCATACATGTGTTTTTCTTGCACATTGCATGTGTTAGTACGATAATGGTTGGCTTAGTAAGAGATGGGTTTGAGTTGGAAAAATTCATAAACTTGTTTCCAAAGTCCTCCCATATGGCTACTTCAATAATGGATCCAGATTCATTTTTCAAATCTATGTTGGCACAAGCTTGTTGGCTCCATGAGTTTGAGTCTTGACAACTTTGTAAGATGTTGGATTGAACTCTAATATGGTCGAAATCTGTTCGCGAGTAATGCATGTTGTAATCGAAATTTGTTCTTACATGCATTAGTCATTATTGCTAGGATTGTTAGCATGTTGAATTGAGTCTTACTTGTAAACCTAATTGTTTAAGTTAGCTTGTACCCTAAGTTAGCTTGTAATGGGTAATTGTTAAAAAATCCTATTAGGTTAGTGTGCTATTTTTCTTATAAATAAGATGCTAGTTTCTCAATCTTGGCATAAGGAAAAATAGGAAGATAAAATCCTAATTTCAAGAGAGAGAAAGAGGTTATTTTATTATTCTTGTAATCTTGTTCTAAGAGAAAAGAAAGAATATCAATTTAATAACCAATCCTTATTGTTCCTTGTTGTTTTACTTTGTCTTCTTTATTAACCCTAACCCTTGTATATTTCTTAATCATTAAGAAACCGTTTATACTTTGTTTAAAGGTATCCGATTCACAACAAATTGGTGCAGTGAGCGTGGAGAAGATGCCTTCAACGAAGTATGAGATTGAAAAGTTCACTGGAGTGAACAACTTCGGTCTGTGGCGCTTGAAGATGAAAGTCCTACTGGTTCAGCAGGATTGTTTGGAAGCGTTAAAGGGTGAGGTAGCCATGGACGCTGCATTAACGGCAAAAGAAAAGACGAGCATGATCGAGAAAGCCCACAGCGCAATATTGTTGAGCCTTGGTGATAAGGTTCTTCGACAGATATCAAAGGAGACTACAACATCAGGATTATGGGTGAAACTTGAAAGTTTGTACATGATCAAATCTCTGGTGAATCGACTCTACCTAAAGCAAGCTTTATATTCATTCAAGATGAGTGAAGATAAAGTGTTGGCTAAGCAGTTGGATATGTTCAACAAGCTGATTCTTGATCTTGAAAATATTGATGTGAAGATCGATAATGAAGATCAAGCATTGTTGCTGCTATGTACTTTGCCCAGAACACATGCTCACTTCAAAGAAACTCTCTTGTATGGAAGGGAGCCTCTGACCTTTGAAGAAGTTCAACCAACCTTGTATTCTAAGGACTTGAATGAACGAAAGGAGCATAAACCTTCGACGGTGGATGAAGGTTTGGCCGTTAAGGGAAAATTCTTACGAAAGGATGGTAAGTTCGACAAGAAGAAAGGTAAAAGTCAACAGAAGTCTTATAGTGGCGAAACATGTGGTATTTGATGTTATCACTGTAAGAAGGAGGGTCACATAAGAAAGGTGTGCCCTGAACGCCTGAAAGATCATAGAGGTAATGTCAACGTAGCCATTGTTCAAGATGACTTCGACTCATCTGATTTTCTTGTGGTTTCAAGTGGCGACTTGAGAAAAGAGTGGATTATGGATTCAAGTTGCACTTGGCACATGACTCCAAACAGAGAATTGTTCGAGGAGCTATGTGATCAAGATAGTGGATCTGTGCTGCTGGAAAACAACAAATCTTACAAAATTGCAGGTATTAGATCTGTGAGATTCAAGCTCCATGATGAGTCAATAAGGTTATTGACTGAAGTCAAGTATGTACCTGACTTGAAGAGAAATTTGATTTCTCTTGGTGAATTCGACAGAAAGGGATACGTTTTTCAAGGAGAGAAAAGTATCCTAAGAATCATGAAGGGGTCGAAGAAAGTCTTGAGAGGCATGAAGAAACAAGACTTGTATACCATTGAGACTGAAGTTGTAAGTGGTTCGACAAATGTTGCATCAACAAAACCTGTGTCAAAGACAGAATTATGGCACATGAGATTGGGCTATGTCAGCGAAAGAGGCCTGGTCGAATTGGGGAAGCAAAACCTGCTAGGAGGTAACAAAGTCGAAAAGTTGGAGATTTGTGAATCTTGTGTATTTGGTAAATCCTGTAGGACGAAGTTTAACAAAGGCAAGCAAAGAGCACATGGATCTCTGGATTACATTCATGCTGATCTTTGGAGGCCTGCAAGGAATCCTTCACACTCAGGTGCAAGGTATTTTCTATCCATCGTTGATGACTATTCTAGAAAGCTATGGGTATTCATTCAGAAGATGAAGGATGAAACTTTTGAGAATTTCAAAAGTTGGAAGATTCTGGTCGAAACTCAAACTGACATAAAGGTTAAGAGGTTGAGAACCAACAATGGCCTTGAATTCTGTAACGAAGCGTTCGACAGTTACTGTGTTGAGTCTGGGATTGCAAGGTATAAGACTGTAGCAGGTACTCCTCAAAAAATGGCTTAGGTAAGAGATTCAATCGAACAATCCTTGAAAATGTTAGATGCATGTTGGTTAGTGCTGGATTGAAGAAGGTGTTTTGGGCAGAAGCCGTTTCGACAGCAGCTTACCTGATAAATAGATGACCCTCGACTGTCTTGGGAATGAAGACACCTGAAGAAGTTTGGTCGGGACATCCACCTAGTCTCGATAGACTGAGAGTATTTGACTGTATGGCCTATGCTCACATTAGGCAAGACAAGGTCGAACCTAGAGCTCTGAAATGCATGTTCATGGGATACCCTGAAGGAGTTAAAGCTTATAGGCTATGGTGCCTAGAGCCAGGTCACAGGAGGTGTATCACCAATCGAGATGTAGTTTTCAATGAAGCAGAGATGACTTTCAAGAAAACTAATGATGTTGACGAAGAGCTGGAACAGGGAGAGATTCCTGTTGAGGTAGAGCATGTTGATACTGAATTGCGTACCCCAGATGAAGTCGAAGAAGACGCAGAAGGTGTTGTCGAAGATGAGAAGACTGATAATGACTACCTTCTAGCAAGAGACAGGTCGAGGAGATTCATCAAGCCACCTCAGAGACTTGGGTATGCAAATCTTATAGCTTATGCCTTAATCTCTGCTAGTGAGGTTTTAGATGAAGAACCTAGAGACTATAAGGAAATTATAAGGAGTCGAAATAAGACTGAATGGCTGAAGGCCATGGATAATGAGATGAAATCTCTTCATGATAACAACACCTGGGAACTGATCAAGAAACCTGTTGGAGCCAGGTTAGTCAGTTGTAAATGGATTTTCAAAGTTAAGGAAGGAATTGAAGGAGTGACTTCGAAGAGATACAAGGTAAGATTGGTTGCTAGGGGGTTCACTCAGAAAGAAGGTATCGACTTTAATGATGTGTTCTCTCCTGTTGTGAAACACATATCCATTCAAATGTTGCTTGACACAGTGGCACAATTCGACCTTGAACTGGAACTGATGGATGTGAAGACTGCGTTCTTGTATGGTGACTTAGATGAAACAATCCTGATGAGGCAACCAGAAGGGTATGTCGAAAAAGGGAAGAAAGATTATATGTGCAAGCTGAATAGATCTTTATATGGTCTGAAACAATCTCCTCGACAATGGAATAGGAGATTCG